ATATATATATAAGGAGTGAGAGGGAGAGGGAAAGGGAGTAGTTGTTTTGAGACAAAAGGAGACTAGAGATGAGTGGATATGAAGAAAGGTTTTATATATTTTTCCTACTCTTGACTTTTCTGTGCTTTGGAAAATATCAATTTTTAGACTATGAAATCGTCCACATTCTGCGTTAATTGATTCCGTTTCTTTTCCACATTCACACTCCTACAACCACAGAATTAAACTTGCAGATTATAGTTTGTGTGTTAATTAATTGTTTTGCCCCCTTAAACTTAACTATCAGTGGCAGATTAGCCCCTAAATCAAATTCAGAGGCATATCACCCCTTAAACTCTTCGACAGTGGCAAATGAGCCCTTGTTTAACGGTTGACGTCATTGTTCTGTCAAAAAACTAACGGAGCCTTCATTTAGTGGGTTCCAACTTCCAAAGCTGAGCTGACAATCGCATGACAAGTGGGATCCACTTCAAAATAAATGAAAAATGAAAATATAATGTACTTCCTAATTTAAACTATATATTATTTTAAATTCATAAAATATGCCACTCTAATATTTATTATTATTATTTTATTTACAATTAGAATGTCTTTTAGTTTTCACGCTCCTAGATATTAATTTTTTTGAATAATTTAAAATACTCTTAGATTAATTTGATATATGTAAAAAAATTAATTTTTTTTAACTGTTAATTTTAAAACTTAAATCGTATATCTAACTTATAAGAGTACATTTCAGTAATAGATCTAAGTGTTAAAATTTTTAGTATTCATTATTTATTTAAATCAAATTTTACTAAAAAGAATTATATTAATATGACTTATCAATCTAGGCATTGGGCACAAAAAAATAACAACAGGACTATCAAAAATATTAGATTAAAAAACATGTAGATCTATTTATTACCTGAGTAAATTAATAATAGAACCATCAAGAAAATTTTAATTTAAATGTACATGATTTCTTCTTTTATGGTTAATCAAATTTTAGAACAAAAGCAATAAAAAAAATGAACACACAATTTTGATTCAAACCAAATTGTAAATTATCAATGATAAGCTCCAATTCCCCACATATGGCATAAAATTCTTCTCTCCTCCATAATTTTATATTTGAACAAACAAGAAAATTAAATATGAATGACAGATAATAAAGAACAAGGAATAAAAAAAGAAGAAGCAATTTTTGGACACAAAATGAAGAATAAAAATAGAAAATTAAGTTTGAATTTAATTTATTCCACACAATCCACTTAAATGGAGAGAATGATCAGAAACAAGTTAGAATTTTTCTAATGAAATTTGATTATATTGACACTAGTTAAAGGAAGTTTGTAAAACATTCTAATTATTCCGTTGCAGTTAAAAAAAAATGGTTTTAGGCTTCTAGGTCTGCATGAATAAAAGAACCTAAAATTCTTATTTTTAAATTGTTATTTCATAGGAGGTTTTAATATTATAGGTTTGGTGACATAGGGCTCACATTAGTTTTTTTTTACGGAATGATGACATCAACCTTCAAACAAGGGGTCATTTGCCAGTATCAAAGAGTATAAGGGTACTAATGAGGGGTTGAATCAAGTGGTAAGCGGTTTGTTCCAGCTTAAGTAAGGTCTCGAGTTCGAGACCTTATGAATGCAGTAGCCTCCGTTAGAAGACTCATCCACTATTTTCAGGTGCGCGACGCG